TAACTTATTAAAATCTTATTTAGCAACTGTTCTATGTCACCCAGTCAGTGAGAATACATTGGATCTATTCATAGTTCCCTTCGGTCCAGGAGGACACAGGTTTGTATCAGAGAATGTATGTTTTTCTTTAATAAGATTTATCAAATATTCAGGCCGAAAATAAATAAATATACTATTTAGTAAATAAATGGAGCTTCTACTGAAATATGAGTATCCACTAAAAATAACATTTAAAGTGACAAAATCTGTAAATTTAAATAAGTAAAAACCTATTACTTTTTAGAAATAAATTAATTATATATATATATATATATATATATATATATATATATATATATATATATTTCTATTATATAGACAAAACCATTTTACTCACTACAAAGATGCAACTTGGTTTCAGTGCATTTCAACTGCACTTCGACGGGTGAGAATCGAAAATATATAAAATCAAAATTATGGCTCATTTAGTTTCTATAAATTGGCAAAAAATACTACCTATTACAGAGACCTTATATATATATATATATATATATATATATATATATATATGTTGCAATGGATAAATTGTCATCTAATTACACAAAAATGAAAATGCCACTGACATTTCATTTTAACAGATGTATACAGCAAAATATCTTGAAATACTTAAGTGTAAGTTTAGCAATATTACCGCCATTGGCGTCACCCATGGCTCCTAGATGACTTCAGAATCTCCTGCCTCTCTTCTGGACGGTCTCCTTACTCAAGTTGGTGAATGCTGCCACAATCCCTACCATCAATTCATTTTGGTGTTACAAGGAGTTTTGTTGGTCTTTCGATCAACTGCACCCCACACATAATAATCAAGGGGGTTGCAATCTAGGGAGATAGGTGGCCAGATGTAAGAGATGATGCAGCCACAGAAATTGTCTGATAGTTATGACTGGGTTCTTCTGTTATTGTGACATGGTGCAGAGTCCTGTTGCCAGATATAGGGTCTTCTAGCAGCCACCCTGTTGACTCAGGTTAGCACTACCTCCTCAAAGCACTTGATGTAGCCCTCTGTGTTGAGTCTGTGGTCCTCACCAGCAAATTCAGGAGTTCATTTCTTATCAGAACAATAAGAGTGAGTTTTCCAGGCTGCTGTATCTTCGTAACCACCATTAGACTCATTCAACTCTTTTCCAAATCTTCTGCACTCTCCACAGATTGATGCCCAAACAATCTGAAATGTTCATATTGGAGATTTCCAGCGCGAATGCCAAGCTGTACAGCATGCTATTTCCAAATTTCTGGCTGAGTGAATTGCACCATGGTGCCCTTTTTCTCAGAGATGGTGTCCAAATATGTCCACTATACTGTGCAGTTCACAAAATCAAAAAGAAACAATGCACATGCATTAAATCAAAAAAATATTGAATGGCGACAATTTACCCATCGCACCATATATATATATATATATATATATATATATATATATATATATATATATATAAAAATCCGACAATTATTTTGAGACATTTTTATGTTTATACATTCTTTTATAGAAATAAATAAAATGCTTTTTATAGATTCAAATATTTAAGTAAATGCTCTGTTTATAATAAACAGTAGTAAACAACATTTACCGGCCTGAATGTCCGAGAAATTTTCATAGAAGATATTCATCCTCCGGCAGGAATCGAACCTGTATCCTTTACAGAACCGTCATATAGCCTGACGTGACTTTAACTGATTGGGCCACAATCTTCCATGATTTTCTCATGTATCTGCTCATGGCGTATCCAAAAGTAAACAAAATTGTAGTTTAAAGACAGTAAAATCAAAAGCTCCTCTGTGGCCCAATCAGTTAAGGCACGTCAAGCTAAATGACGGTTCCGTATAGGATACAGGTTCAAATCCTGTCGGAGGGCGCATATTTTCTATGAAAATTACTCGCACATTCAGGCTGGTAAATGCTGTTTAATACTGTTTATTATAAACAGAGCATTTACTTAAATATTTGATTCTATAAAAAGAATGTATAAACATAAAAATGTCTTTATATATATATTACAAATATATAATTGGTATATATGGAATGAATTCCAATAACCAACAATTACTATTCTTAAAAGAGTGCTCAATACAAAGTAGAGCAGATATAATTATTATTTATAAAAAAATTATAACCTAAGTATGTTATAAAATCACTACAAAATAGCCATTTTGTTTCAACACCCTGGAAGTCTTATCAAGATGATGTTGAAGATCTTCAACATCATCACTTGATAAGACACCGAGGGTGTTGAAACAAATGGCTATTTTTGTAGTGATTTTATAACATACTTAGTTATAATTTTTTATAAATAATAATATATATATATATATATATAAAAGGAAAACTTTTCTTTACTAATGCATTTTATTCAATGATTGACTTTATCAAGGCAAATATCCCTCAGTGATTGAAAATGCATTCCCTAACAAGGATTGAACCTGCATCCCCTGCCTTTGTAGTGGAAACCACTGTTTGACCTAG